GGGGCAGAGCTCCGCGGGGTCCTAGCGCGGCTCGGGTATCGGGCGGGGAGGCGCTTCTCCTGGGTCCTAGCGCGGCCCATATCTCTCTGCCCCCGCAGTTGCCAGCCCGACCTTAGGGGGCGCCATGTGCCCAAGCTGCCAAGACTAATGCAGTGTTTCTCAACTTTTTTTTTATAAAGTACCTCCGTTTCAAAAAAAAGGTAAGTATCCCCCTTTTAAAAAAAATTATAAGTACCCCTAGTACCTACAGATTTCAGACACACAACATTTTTCTCTACCATTGCAACACATTTGTTTAAGTATCGGAGGGGTATCCATGTTAGTCTGAATCTGCAAAAACGGGGAGGAGTCCTGTGGCACCTTATAGACTAACCAAAGTGTTGGAGCATAAGCTTTTGTGGGCAAAGACCCACTTGGTCAGATGCATGCTATATACATCGGCCAAACTGGACAGTCCCTACGTAAAAGAATCAATGGACACAAATCAGATATTAGGAATGGCAACATACAAAAACCTGTAGGAGAACACTTCAATCTCCCTGGACACACAATTAAACAAAGACTGTGAATGGCTCGCTAACTACAAAAGCAGCTTCTCCTCTCTTGGAATTCACACCTCCAGGTCAGCTACAAGAAGTGGGCCTCGTCCTCCCTGATTGGATCCACCTCGTCATCTCCAGCCTGATTCTGGCCTGCATATTTATACCTGCCTCTGAAAATTTCCACTACATGCATCTGACAAAGTGGGTCTTTGCCCACAAAAGCTTATGCTCCGACACTTCAGTTAATCTATAAGGTGCCACAGGAGTCCTCACCGCTTTTACATTTGTTTAAACAACTTAATTGTAGCCAGGCAGGCGATGAAATTTTTGGGTGTAAAAAGTACAAGAATAATAAAGCGCTGTAAAACTTCAAACAAAAATTCAGTTTTCTCCAAATTTTAGTTGTGTTGACGTACCCCTCCCCCTCAGACTTCTCTCAAGCACCCCTAAGGGTACTCGTACAACTGGTTGAGAAACACTGGACTAGAGCACCCCCAAGTGGGAAGAGACAGTTCACTGGTGTCCCACCACAACCTAACACCAGGCTCAAAGGAACCAAGACCTTCAGCTCCAGGTTTCCCCTCGTGGACTGAACTGGCCCCATCTGACCTCGAACAACCCCTGTCCTGAGCCCTCATCCCATGGAGTGCAAGGCAGAGACATACAGGAGGGCATGCCAGTGCCGTTTGCTCCCCCTCAGCCACATGCTCACAGGTGTGCTTGTGTCCATCTGTGCACATACATGCATGCACAGTACACACTGTCTTGCACAGAGGCATCTCAGGCTGCACATCATGCACACTCCAAAGTGATGATTTGTGCAGATATATTTTGCACGCATACTCACAGATGAATATAGTCATCCCCTTCACACTCCTGCAAAAAGGCACAACTCCTCATATGCTCAGTACCAGAAGGGTCTGTGGAATCTCATTCATGTAGTGTGGCACCATATCCCCAACCTGAAAATACACGATCGTCCATATCCTCACCTTACACAGGGCGGAGCAGCTAGGATCTGAGGGACTGATGTCACCACCTCACATTTGTTACAGTCACTGACACCCCCCTGCAGACTGAGTGCAGAACATTACCACATCAACATTCCCTCCTTACACCAGGGCTCATGTCTTACGGCACCATATCCCCAACCTGAAAATACATGATCGTCCATATCCTCACCTTACCCAGGTCACTCAAGCTATGTCTACACAGCACTTATTTCAGAATAACTGACATTATTCCGAAATAACATAGTACACATCTACACTGCCAGCCTTTATTTCGAAATAATGTTGACCTGGAGGACTTCTTACTCTGACTCCTGTAACCCTCATTTCACAAGGAGTAAGGGAAGTCGAAGGAAGAGGGCTCTTCCTTCAACTTCTTGCTGAGTAGACAGTGCCAAAAGCTGAAATAAGCTATTTCGACTTCAGCTATGCAACTGACATAGTTCAAGTTGCATAGCTTATTCTGACTTTAGCCCTGCTGTGTAGACGTCCCCACAGGTATAAACAACTGCACAATATGCCAGATAGTGGAGCCTCAGCTCCTGAGCAAGCAAATCTTAAGTAACACAAAATTGCATCAAATTTAGGACAAAGCCCATATAAAAAGGGCTTGATTACACTCCCATTAAAGACAATTCATTTTAATGGAATAAGATCAGAGCCAGCTGTGGTCGATGGTGAATTTAATTCCTTGTAATCAAAACAATCTTGACAGAGGTAGGTGCTCTGGCCAGATTGGAAATGTGTTTAAGAAATTCAGCATCTGTGAGCCTCACCAGCTCTTGACAAGCTATTTTTTTTCCAAAGACTGTTGACAATCCTTGAAGAGAGGGTGATAATTTGAAAATAATCTCAATAACTCCTCTCATCAACTGGCAATCATTTAGCAAATCCACCAACAGATGGCATATTCCTGTACTTAATGGAAAATTATACAAAGTGGTCAAAGGCAGGTAAACTGAGCCTGCAGCCAAATTTTAGGGCCATCTCAGGTCATGTTTCCTACAGATTTAGTTAATTCTATGAATACTGGATTTTTAGCTCATCTCTTCTCTGTTATCGAACATTTCAAGGCCATTAGGCGGTAGGGATGTCAACATATAGATGACTACATGATTAACCAATAAGCCCAGGCCCCATTCCCAGGGAGGCCCTGCCGCTCCGTGCTTCTGCCTCTGATACAGAGGCAGCAGCATGGGATGGCAACAGCCCCTGCCCGTGCAGGGCCCAAGCACCTCATGGATAGAGGTTGCTCCAGCATCTCATGGAGCAGCCTCTGTCCCATGGTGAGCCTGTGGGAGGGTGGGGTCCTGAGCTCCCCACAGACAGGTGCTTCTGTCACTCTGTGCTTGTCCTTTGTATCAGAGGCAACAGCGCAGGGTGGCAGGTGGGGAGCTGGTTTGGGAGGGAAACTAGTTTTCTGATAAAGACGCAGCAGCGTGGGGTGGTAGGTTGTGTAACTGCTAAAAGGTGGTGCAGTTACACAACTATTCAATTACACACGATCTAACATCCCTATTAGGAGGACTAAAGCAATATGCCTCTGAATCTATTGATCTCATCAAATCTCAAAACAAGGTACAGTCTAGTTTGGATGGGAGATCACCAAGGAAAACCCAAGTGGTGGCTGCAAGGAATGGTTTTAGTCATTCAGTAGGTGGCACTGTTTCTTCTAAATCAGCCCTCTACCAAGTCTTCATAAGTGCAGTTATGCTGGATGCACTGGGATACAAATGTGACATAAGATTGAAGTCCCCATGGCTCTTCGGTAGAGTGCCTAGATGTCTCTATGCTGAATACGGGACACCAGGTAAAATTACTCATATTCAAGTGAGTTCAGAGGCAATCAATCAGAACTATGCAGTACAAATGTTCAAATTAACATCAAGTTGACTGAGCCCTGTTAAAAAGAAATACTGTAGCTGGAGTCTTTTTATTTACCATCTTATCTTTAAGGTTTGCATGGGGAGAGGTAACACACACACTCTCTCTCTCTCATATATATCTATCCAGGGATGAGGGTGACTGATGGACCTGATCCAACTCTCCCTACCTACTGCCCCCTACCCTCCATGCCTGGCTGGGTCCCTGGGACAGACCTGCCTCTCCTGGTACCTGCTGCCTCTTCTCAAGGCAACATGCCGTGCTTTCGGGGTCCCCCCCCCAGATTTCTATCGGGGTGCACAGCAGCACACGGTTGGCTTCTCACTGCACCACCTGCCAGGACCCGACAGTGGTCAGGGAAGCTAAAGATCCAACCAGTGAGCTGAATTCTGTGAGCACCAGCTCTACAAAACGCCGCACTGTCATCACCATCAGTGCCAGTGTACAGCTCGGTGACATCTATGCCATTAGACCAGGGGCCTGTTCTCTCCCCCGCCCCTCCACAGAGCCCACCAGGGGCTTGTGATCTCCCCCCCCACACACACACACATTCCTCCCAGCCCACCAGGGGCCTGTTCTCTCCCCTCACCAGGCCCCTCAGCTGCCAGGGGCCTATTCTCCGGTCCATTCTTCCCTAGCTGAAAAGGGCTTCTCCCCTCCCCCGTACCAAGGGCTGGGAAGGGTTTGGGGTTGGAGGCTACTTACCCAGTGTGCTGGCAGGCAAGATGGCGGAGCCCCAGCGAACACGCTCTAGGATAGTTCTCCCCTGAGGGCTCGCTGCCCCCATTGACCACTCTCATATCATGTCCCTCAGAACAGCAGTCCCTCCCTTTGCATGTTAAGGAAAACAGTCCTT